AGAGAGAAAGAAAGGGAGAGAGGGAGGGAGGAAGGGAGGAAGGGAGGCAGGAAGAAAGAGAGAAAGAAAGGGAGAGAGGGAGGGAGGAAGGGAGGGAGGGAGGAAAGGAAGGAGGGAGGGAGGAAGGGAGGGAGGAAGGGAGGAAGGGAGGCAGGAAGAAAGAGAGAAAGGAAGGGAGGGAGGGAGGGAGGAGAGGAGAAAGGAAGGAAGAAAGAAAGAAAGAGGCCCCCTAGGGCCCCCTTGGCCTGGCCTGACCTGCCTCTGAGAGCCCTGGCCTCACCTGCCCTGCCACTAAGGGCACCTCTGGCAGTTCCTGGCCTGCCACTAAGGGCTGCCCTGGCCAGGAATTCTTCTAAAGGTCCCACTGGCACTAAGGGTGGGCCTGTCCAGTCCTCCACAAGAGACCTACTGGTTGGGCCTTCCTCGGAGCCACCCTGACCTGGACTGGCACTAAGGGCTCCCCTGGCCTACCATACTTGGTGCTAAGGGACTCCATGGCCAGGACTACTATTCAGGGCCCCCTGATTCTAAGGGCCCCTTCTGCTAAGGGCCTGTCAGGCCTGCACCAGTGCCTCCTTGGTCCGGCCTGGCACTAAGGGGCCCCCTGGCTGGCCTGCCCTTAGGGTCTCCCTAGCCTGCCCTGCCTCTAGGGACCCTCTAGACTGGCCTGACCTGCTATGAGGCCCCTGTGGCCTAGACTGGCCCACCACTAGGGCTCCCCTGGTCATCCAGGCCTACCCCTTGGGCCCCCTTGCCTGGCATGGACTGCTCCTAAGGGACCCCAGCCCTGCCTGGCTTGACCCTAGTGCCCTCCTAGCCTGTCCTCTCCTGTCCCTAGGATCCTTCAGACCTGGCCTGCCCTGGCACTATGGGCCCACCGGGCCTGGACTGGCCCAGAGCCACAGACCCCCCTGGCCTATCCCCAGGGCCCTGCTGGCCTGGCACTATGGGCCACCTCAGTCCTAGCCTGGATTTGGCACTAAGGGCCCCCCTGCCTGGGCTTGCTTTCCACTAAGTACCCCGATGGCCTGTCCTGCTGCTAGGGCTCCTATGCCCTCGCCTGCCACTAAGGGCTTGCCTGGCCAGGTATGCTGCCAAGGGCCTCCTACTGCTAAGGGCCATCTTGGCCTGTCCTGCCCAAGGAACCCACAGGCCTGGCCTGCCATGTGGCCCCCCTTTACTGGTCTGCCCCTAGTGGACCACTGCCATATGGGCCACTGTGCTGCTAAGGGAACCCCTGCCAATAACTCCCCCTTTGATTGGCCTGTCCAGGGACCCCTTGGCCTGTATTCATGCTAAGGGCCCCCTGGCCTGACCTGTATTGGTCTGCCACTAAGGCCACCCCTGACCTGGCAGGCCTGCCTTAAGTGCTTCTTTGGCCTGCCCTGGCACTAAAGGGCCCCCTCCCCTGGCTGTCCAAGGGACCAATTGTACTGGTCTTTCCCTACTGGCCCTTGAGGCTGGACTACTGGTAAGGCCACCTTGCTGTATTCTTTTTTGTTGTCGTTTTTCCATTTTTGATTCTTCTTGTTTTCTTATATTTTTGGTTTTTCTTTTATTTATTTTTTCTTTCTTTTATCTTGTTTGTTTTTTCTCTCTGTTGTTTTTCTCTATTTTTGTTCTCTGTTGTATTTCTTCTAGGGAGTTTTGGGGTTTTTTTGTTTGTTTTTTGTATTTTTCTGTCCTTTTTGTTTGTTTTCTCCTTTTATTTATATATTTTTTGGTTCTCTTCTTTTTTTGGTTTCTTTTCATTGGGGTTTCCTTTTCTGGGGGGTAGTTCTTTTGGGGGGGAGTTTTTTGTTAGGGTTTTCTGTTTTTATGGGAGTTTTCTTGCTGGGGAGGTTTGTGTTTTATTTTGGTTTTCTTTTTGTTGGAGCTTCTTTTCTAGAGGGTTTTGTTTTGTGGGGGTTTTCTTCTTTGCAGGCTTTTTTGGAGGTTTTGTTTTCATGGGGGATCTTTTTCTTTTTGGTGGGGTTTTTCTTCTTTTCATGGGGGGTTTCTTATTTCTGCTGGAATTTTCTTTTCTTTGGGATTTTGTTCTATTTCTGGTTTTTGTTTTTGTTTTTCTTTTATGGGGTTTGTCTTCTTTTTGTTAGGGTTTCTTTCTTTGGGGGGGTGGTTTCTTTTGTTGGGGTTTCTTCTCTGGAATTCTTTTATTTTCAGGGGCTTTTCTTTTTTTGGACATTTTCCTTATTTTTGTGTGGGGGGTATTTTTTTACATTAGGTTTCTGTACTTTTCATGGGGTTTTGTCCTTTTCATTTGGGTTTTCTTTTTCTTGGGGTTTCCGTCTTTTGGGGGGTGGTGGTTCTTTTTTGGTGGGTTCTGCTTTTTGTTGGAGTTTTCTTTGGGGAGGATTTTTCCTCCTCTTGGAGTTCTCTTTGTTGGGGCTGTCTTCTTTTTTTTTTTTTTTTCCTTTTCTTCTTTTGGATAGTTTTTCTTCTTTATGTTTGGGTTTTCCTTTGGGGGGTGTTTTCTTGTTCTTGTGGGTATTTTTTCCTTCTTTGGGGGTGTTTTCTTCCTCTTTTGGGTCTTTTCTTCTTTGGGGTGTTTTCTTCTGCTTGGGGTTTTCTTCCTTTTTTGGTTGTTTTGTTCTCCTTTTGGGTGCTTTCTTCCTTTTCTGGGTGTTTTGTTCTTCTTTTAGGCATTTTCATCTTTCAGGTGTTCTCTACTTTTGGGTGTTTTCTACTTTGTCTTGGTGTTTTCTCCTTCATCTTTGTGTTTTCCTCTCCTTTTTGGTGTTTTCCCCTTTTTTTTCTTCTTCCTATTTTTTTTTTTTCTTTTCTGGCCCAACTTCTCAGCTAGCTCCATCTTCATATGCTTTCCCAACTGCAGTGCACTTGTGACCCCCCCATGTTCTAACTGGTCTGGATAGAGAGAAGCAATTGGTGACCACCTGATGCACCTGTAGACCCATGGCTCAGGGCACTGACTCACAGGGTGTCTTCCCAGGTACCATTTCATGTGATGTCACCACCACCCCATTTTACAGGTGGGGAAACAAAGGCCCCAGGTGTGAGGGTGGAGGGCAGGCTGGTAGGGCGGGTGGCATGCCAGCCTGATGAAGCCAGTCTATAGCTTAGCCAGCTGCTCCTGGAGCTCATGGGCCTGGGACAGCATGCACATGGTGGGGGCATGGGGGTGCTGCTTGCCTCAGAGCCCAGCAGCCTGCCCCAGCTCCAGCAACCTCTCCTCCTGCTCCTGGTTCAGGTGGTCCAGACTCTCATTGTCCTTTACCTGAGCCTGCAGCTGACCCACCAAGCTCTCCAGCTGCTCCTGCAGCTGCTCAGCCTCCACCTGCAGCCACCACTCTTCCTTGCAGAGCCCTGCTGGAGACTCCGGGGATGGAGGCTCAGCTGAGAAAGGAATTGAATGATAAGGGCCTCTGGCCTCTGGAGTTGCAAAAAACCCTCTTCTTGACCCACAGCTCCTAACTCAGTCTCCTCACCCCAGACCATGTCTTCCTAGCTGATAGTTTCTCATGCCCAGATGATGATCAATCATTCAAACCACTTTCAAATAGAATTCTTCGCATTCTTATGCTCAAGAAAATGGTGGGTGGCTGACAATGAGCACTCCACCCCTCTTTGCAGACAGGGACACTGAAAGCTCAGATGAGCAGACCTGCCATCTGCTGGCACACACCTCTTTCTCTTACCCCCATCTGTTCCCCAGCCATCCCAGCCCAGCTTACCTGTCCACCTGCTTACATTGGCCAAGCAGGTCTCCAGCTCCTGGACCTGACTCAGGCCATTCTCCTCCCTCAAAGCATGCACCTGCCCAGAGCACAGGAGCATGAGCCACAAGGGGGAGGAGCTGCAGAACGGACAGGCTGCCACCTTCCTCTCTACCCCCAGCCCCATAAAACCAAAGCCCTGGGCAAGCCAGTGGCTCACTTGGGAGAGTGCGGTGCTGATAGCACCAGGGCCATGGGTTCGGAACCCATATAGGGATGGCCGGTTAGCTCACTGGCTGAGCGTGGTGCTGACAACACCAAGTCAAGGGTTAAGATCCCCTTACCAGTCATCTTTAAAAAAAACAAAACAAAACAAAAAAAACCCCAAAGCCCTGTGCTGCAGCCACTCACTTGTTGTGGCAGGAGCTTGGATGTCTTGAGCCGGAGCTGCAAGGCCACCTTCTCCATCATGGGGACCTGAAGCTTCCCCTTCAGTTGGGACTGGTGATACCTGAGGTGCTCATAGTTGTTCCTATGGCCAGAGGTGGTAAAGAATGGAAAGAACAAGGAAGAGAAAGGACCACTTCGGTGATCAATGCACCAACTTTGACACACAACCAGATGACCATGGCATGGGAAGGGGACCCCAAGAATGAACAGCCACAAGTGCCAGTCCAGAGACTGGACATGAATTGCCTGAGACCACACATAAGTCACTGGCACAGCTGGGGCCAGAGCTTGTCTCTGCACATGTCCAAACCTGTGCATCCACCTCATCATGCTCACCTGTACCCTCCCACCTCCCACCCCATCACCCGTGCTGAGGCCCCCCCCAGACCTGCCATCCACCTTCCCCCTTCTACTTGTTGTACTCCAAGTGCAGGTGGAGAGCATCTTGTTCTTTTATCTAGTCATGGTAGGACTGCAAATACAAAAAGGTGAAGTGAGGATTCGGCAGGGAAGAGATGTAGTTGGGGCATACTAACACTGACACCTGTAATAACCATCCAGCAGTAATGTTTCCTCCCCCTGAATCATGCTTGGCATCTTTTTAAAGGCATTTGCAAGGAAAGAGATCTGATTCACTGCTGGCAGACAAAGGCCCAGGGAAATCAGGTCATGTTGCCATTGTTATGACTGTCATCACCATCATTTGACTCTGTGTTGAGTGCATCACCAGGCACCATGCTAATGATCCACTGAATCCTCACAACTACCATAGGAGAGAATTACTATTATCATCTCCATTTTGTACATGAAATACGAAGTATTAGAGGCTAAGAGCTAAGATCACTTACACCTGGGATGTGAACATCTGGGTCTATCTAATTCTCTAAGTCTGTTTTTCCCCCTGGGGGTGGAGGCGCGAGCATGAGGGCAGGTGGCTGGGTGCACCCTCTTGGCCTCCTTCTGCCATGCAGAGACAGCAGGCAGATTCCTGCAGCTCTTTTATCTGCTCCTCATGTGAGCACAGGCAGCTCACCAGATGGTCACACTACCCTGGAACGACAGAGGTCAAGATGGAGCCCAAAGGACTCCCCCAAAGGCCTGCCAAGGCACCAGTTTGAGGGAGGAAGGGTGCCCAGATTCACACCTGCTTTCTGCCAGACCGCATGGTGAGCATTGGCCAGGGCTCTCTGTAACCCTGCCTTTTCGGAAATTAAGACAACAGTGGTTCGAATCTGAGCCTTTGGGAGAAAAGCAAAACAGGTGCTGAGGGAGAGGGAAAGGAAGGCTCTCTAGGGGATGTGGAAAAGGCCAGGCTATAGGGAGTAATGACAGGGACGCCTGGTGAGGGCAGGGGCTGGGCTGCTGAGGCGGCAGGGATGGCTGAGACGACTTTGGTAAGGGGAGTCAAGAGGCACAGAGGGGCAAGCCCCGTGTGCCTCAGAAGTGACACAGAGTCCTGCCCCATCCCACCATCAGAGGGGCCTTGGTCTGGGTCCAGGGCCTCCAGCCCAACATGCTATACCTTTCTCTTGGCCACAGCCAATTTCTTCTGTCGGGTTTCCTCCAATATGTCAGGGCAGGGAAAAGGAAAGAGAGGCCACATCACCATCATCCAAGCACTGAACGATCACTTCCTTCAGCTAATGGTACAGATGTGCAACTGAGCCAGAGCCAGTGGGAGCAGGTAGTACTAGGCAACACTGCAGTGGGCGTGGCCTCAATGCTCCCAGTACAAAAAAGATGAAGACTAATGGAGGAATGGCCAGAACACAGGGAAGGGTGAAGTCACAATAAAAGCTGTGATTGCTGGCCCCGCCCACCCCAGGGAGGGGCCCCCTTTGGGGAAATGGGTGGGGCTCTCACCTGGTGCCCAGGCAGCTTCTGTGTGACCTTACATGGAGAATGTCACAGAATTCAAGGAACCTGGCAGAGCAGAGAGCCTGCTGTCCAGCCGCTGCCCTGGACCCTCCTGTGCCAGTTCAACCACTGACCCAGGGGCATACAACCCCGGGACTCAGGAGATGGGCAATGAATGGACAACAGGAGGAAGTGTAGCACTTCACAGTCCCTTTCCAGACTCCTCACAGCTCCGCCCCAGACTTTCTCATCCCAGAAACCGCCTCCAAAGACCCCCATCCAGTCCTCCAGATGCTTCTCCACTCGCCCCCTTCCTCGAGGGTCCCTTCACTGATCCTGGGAGTGTAGCTGCCCCCTCCCAGCTGGGTCTCATCTAGGTCACTCCTGATTACCAGGTGCTCCTCCTCTCACACCCCACAGCACCCCCTTCCTCCCAGCACGGGCTCTGGGTCTCATCAGCCTTTCTCCTCAGATGCCTTAAGACCAAACTGCAGGGGCTAAAACTATAAAACTCAGAGAACACCACATAAGTGTAAATCTTCATGATCTTAGATTAGGCAATGGTTTTGTAGGCATGACATCAAAAGCACAAGCAACAAAAGAATTAAAATGGATAAACTGAACATCATCAAAACTAAGCACTTCTGTGGTTCAAAGAATGCCATCAAGAAAGTGGAAAGAAAGTGAAAAGAAAACCACAGAATTGGAGAAAAATTTTACAAATCTTATATCTTAGAAGCTTGTATCCAGAATATATATATAAAAAAATGATTACGGCTTGATAATAAAAGATAAATATACCATTTTTTTAAATTAGAAAACCATGATTCAGATTTTTTGCTAAAGAAAATATACAAATGGCCAACAAGCACATCAAAAGTTGTTTGACATCAGTCGACATCAGAGAAATGCAAATCAAATCCACAATGAGATAGCACTTCACACTCACTACCTTGGCTATAATCACAAAGATGCATAAAAACAGTGTTGTAAAGATATGCAGAAATTAAAACCCTCACAGATGGCTGGGACAACTGTATAATGGTGCAGCCACTTTGGAAACAGCCTGAAATTTCCCCAAATGATTCAGTGTAGAGTTATCATATGATCCAGCAATTCCACTCCTAGGTATATGCCAAGAGAAATCAAACTGTGCATCCACACAAAACCTTGAACACAAATGGTCATAGCAGCATTATTCACAATAGTCCAAAGGTGGAACTTGCCAAGTGTCCATGAATGATGAATGAATAAACAAAATGTGGGACAGCCATGTAAATAAACATTAGTCAGTCATAAAAAGCACTGAAGTACTGACACATGCTACAACTTTGCATGAACCTTGGAAACATTATGCTAAGTGAAAGGNCACACTTTAAATGGGTGAATTGTATGGCATGTACATTATATTTCAGTAAAAGCTGTTAAAGAACAAATGTGCCATAACTTCAGCTTTTCATTAGGATATAGATGTTGCAACAGTCCGATGCTCAACACAATGACTAAGAAAAAGCCAGATAAAGTATAAAAATCCTATTTTTGAAGGCATAACAGAGTTGTGGAAACAATAATTAGATGAACTTGAATTTCATAAAGAGAGAATTCTAGGGCAGGGTTTTTGTTAATTCTCAGTAGGGACTGATGATCACATTTGGTCCACACGGGGACAGAGAAACCAGGGAAGTACTGGTTGGTCACTCACGGTTGGTGCTGGTGTGAGAGATCACACAACTCGAAAAGCACTGACTGATGTTTGGGGGGTCCCAGTAGTCAGTTTCAACCCACCCCATCCTCTTACCGGGTTCTTGACTCCACCACAGGAAAGAATTCAAGAGTGGAGTCACAGGACCAAGTGAGAACAGGTTTAACATAACAAAGAAGAGATACAGATAAGAGAGGAGAGAGAGAGGAGAGAGAAGGGGGGAGGCCTAGCTCCAGAGACTGAGAAGGGCCACACCGAATTTAACACAAAAGCAAGAAATGCACACTTAAAGTTCAGTACTGAGTGCAGGCTGGCTTAAGATAGTGAGAAGTTGCTCTCTAAAGGTAAGTTTGATACAAAGAGAAAGAAATACACACTCCACAGGCAGAGTGCAGGCTGCCTCCAGGAGAGTGAGCACCAGCCCTGCCTTCTGCTGGGATCTGGCTTTTATAGTTTCACTGTCTAATAAATATTCAATAAAAAATGTGGTTCCCAGCTGTGTAACAGTCTTCCACATGCTCAGCTGGTCTCTTCTTGGAGCATGCTCATTGGTCAAATCCTATCACAGGCACCAGACGAATTTGGGAATAATCTGTGCTCTCTAGCTCCTGTAGTGGAAGGTCATTCAGCTACCAGGGTTCCATAACCCCTCTCTACTGAGCATGCCCAGCCACTGGATTTGCATAAGTCAGCTCTTTGTGGTCTCATTTTCCCCATGTTGGTGCTGAAAATAGGTCTAACTGGCAACAGCAGATTTTCTCTAGGGGTGGGCCTAGACGAGGGGCCTGAGACCTCCAGGAGTGGCTGGAAACCCAGACACATGTCTGGAAACCTAGACCCAGGGAAACTGAGTACCTCCTGTCTCATGATGTGGTTGGTGTTTCCTACAAGACGTTCTGTATGTTCTGGAGATGAATGTAGAGGACTGAGGAGCCAGGCCAAGGTTTCCTAAAAGTCAGAGTAAAATCTTCCTGAATCTCAAAGTGCTTGGGAGATTATGTTTCCCCAGAGGGACAGGGCTGCTGATTGGTCCCTCAAGATTTTTGGCAAATTTTAATGCTACAGGATGTGCGCTAAAGAAGCAAGCTGAAACCTCTAAAGGTCACAGGTGGATTTGTCACAGTCTTTCATAGTTGACCGGTGACCCACTAGAATTTCCACCCAAATCCCTGAAGGTCCTTCCCTCAGGAAGAGGGAAGAACCAGAGTTGGATAAAATTTATTAAACCTGCATATGCGTAATTGGACTCACAGAGTGAGACTAGAGAGAAAAGGGTGTAGAAGCAGTCATTGAAGGTGTAATGGCTGAGGATTTTCTAAAATGGGTATAAAACATCAATCCACAGATTCAAGGAACCCCAAGTAGATTGGCAAACCCCAACTGGGAATAAAAAAGAAAAGAGGACAAAATCATTCTAAGGTCCATTATAGTTAAATGGCTAAAACATAGCAGATGGAGTCAAATATCTTAATGACATATAAGTGTATGAAGCAAATTCATTCCCTTATATGTCACTGAACATATTAAATATATCATTTAAAATATTTTAAAGCTACTCATTCACCATTAGAAATTAAGAGGATAATAACAAACCTAAGAGTCACAGGAGAATGGATATATTAAACATAAAAAAATGAAATCAGATTATCAGGATAGGGGACAACAGCAGAACTGACAGATTAATAAAACTGAAAGCTGGTTATTTGAATAAAACCCCAACAAAAACCATGTATTCACTTTCAATGTTTATTGTAATTAATTAAATTTGATTCAAATAAAAATGCAAAAATGTGAGCATGAAAAAAAATGATGTGACTACGGATACCAAGGAAACTACAAAAATAATGGTAGCCATAGAAATTTTAATGAAAAAGAAAGTTTTCTTGTACAGTATAAATCATAAAACTTTACTAAGGGCCCCCGTGACATGGCCTGAACCGCTGCTAAGGGCCTCCCTGGCCTTAACTGGTCTGCAGCTATTGGCCCCACTGCCCTGGCCTTCTGCTAAGGGCAACCTGGTTTGACCTGGTCTGCTGTTAATGGCCATATGGGTTTGGCCTTTCATGCCTCTTAGTGCCCCCTGGCTTGCCCTGGCCCTGTGGGCCCTCTGAAATGGCATGGCCTGATTTTAAGGGTACCCTGGATTGGCCCGGACTGGTGGTAAGGAGCACCATGGCCTGATACTATGGGCCATCCTGGAAAAATCAGCCAGCCAGTAAGGGGCTCCTGGAGTAACTGGGCCTGCCACTAAGGGCCCCCATGGGCTGTTTTAGCCTGGTACTAAGGTCTCAAATAGCCTAGTGCTAAGGGTTCCCTCTACTGGGGGACCTGAATTGGTGATAAGGGCACCCCTGGCCTGGCCTGGTCTGCCACTAGAGACCCTGTCACCTATCCTGGACTGGGCCTATGAGCACCCTGGCCTGGCCTGACCTGTCACTAAGGGTCCCCTTTGTCTAGTCTGCCCCTAGGTCCTATCAGGCTAAGCCTGCCTCTAAGGGGTCCTGTGACCTGGCCTGCCATAAGCCCCCCTGACATGGCCTGTTCCTAGTGGCCCCTAGCCTGGCCTGCCATTAAGAGCAGCCTGTGACTATGGGTACCCTGCCACTAAGGGCACCCCAGCATGGCCTGGACTGCAGCTAAGGGACACCCTGGCTTAGCCTTGCCTGGCCTGCCACTAAGGAACCCCCTGACCTGGCCTGCCAATAAGGACAGTCTGCCAGTGATGATACCCTGCTGCTAAGGACCACTCTGGCCTGGCCTGCCTCTAAGGGTCTCCCAGCTGCTAAAAAAAACCCTATGTGACTAAAGGCCCCCCTGCAATATGAGCCCTCCTGCTCTTGCCTGCTCCCAGATCCCCCCTGGACTGTCCTGGCCTGACTCTAGGGCCCCCATAGATACCTCTCCAGCTCCTAGGGCTCCCCTGGCCTCACCTGACCTGCCCCTACAGCACTCCTGGCCAGGCCTATTATGTCCCAAGGGCCCCTCCATGCTCTTGCCTGCCACTAAAGGTGGCCTGACATAGACCACCCTTGACAGGCTTGCCCCAGGGCCACCCTGGCCTGTCTTGGCACTAAGGGGCCCTTTGACTGGCTTGGATGACCACTAAGTGCTCCCGTAGCCAGGCCTCACCTACCACTAGGGCCCTGATGGCCTAGAATACTGCTAAGGGCCCTCTGTCCCTGCCTCACCAAGGGCTCCCTGGCCTGGACTGGAGCTAAGGATCCCCCCTGGCCTGAAATGCCACTAATGGCTGAACTGGTCACATCTGCGGCTAAGGGCCCACCTGTCACTATGGGCCATCCTGACCTGGCATGCCCAAAGGACCCACTGGCCTAGCCTGTTGTAGGGTCCCTCTGCCACTAAGAACTCCTTTCTGCTAAGGGCCTTCCAGGCCCCCAGGCCTGACCTGCACCAGGGCAATCCTGGCTTACCTTGGTGCTAAGTGTCTCCTGGGCCTGGTCTGCCCAAGGGACCAGCTGGACTAGTCTGCCCCTATGAACCCCCAAGCCTGTCCTGCTGGTAAGTGTATCCTTCTTCTTTCTTTTAGTTTTTTTCCTTTTGTTTTTTCTTTTTCTTTCTTTTTTTTTAAAAAAATATTTTTCTGTTTTCTTTTTTTTTCCTTTTGCTTTTTGGGTTTTCTTTTTTTTTTTTTTTTTGCATTTCTTGGTCTTTGTTTTTTTACTTCCTTTTTTTTGTTTTGGATTTCTACTTTTTGTGGCTTTCTTCTTTCTGTTGGGGTTTACTTCTTTGGGGGAGCTTCTTCTTTTGGGGGTTTTTCTTCACTTTGGGGGGGTTCTTTTTGATGGGGCAGTCTTTTGGGGGTTTTTTTGGTCAGTTATTTTTCTTTTGGGGGGGTTTATTTTTATGGGTTTTTATTGGTGGTTTTTCTTGTTTTGGGGGGTTCTGATTTGGAGGGATTCTTTTGGAAGAGTTGTCTTATTTGGGGGGAGGTTTCTTCTTTTTAGGGTTTTTTTGATGAGGTTTCTTTTTGTTGGGGTTTTCATCTTTTCTTGGGGTTTATTCTTTTGGAGGATTTTCTTTTGGTTTTTCTTTTCTTGTTCATTTGGGGTTTTCTTTGGGGGGGAGGTTCTTCTTTTGAGGGAAATTTCCTTTTGTTGGGGTTTTCTTTTTTCTTTTTCTTCTTTTTGTTGTTTTTTTTCTTTTGGGGGAGTTTTTTAGAAGTTTTTCTTTCTGTGAGATTTTCTTTTCTATGGGGGATTTTTCTTTGCATTTTCCTTTTGAGGGGTTCTTCTTATTTTCAGATTTTATTCTTTTTATGGAGGTTTTCTACTTTTGTAGGGATTTTCTTCTTTCATTGGGGTTTTCTTCTTTTGGGGGGATTTTTCCTTCTGGGAGGTTATCTTTTTTTTCTTGTTGGGGGGCTTTCCTTTTTGTTGGGGTATAGAATATAAAATTTTACTAAGGGCCTCATTGGCCAGGCATACTGCTAAGGGTACCCCTTCAGCTATAGGAACCCTGACCTGGCCTGCTATTAGGGCCCTCCTGGCAAGGTCTGTAATGCCCCTAGTGCCCCCCTGGCCTGTCCTAACTTGAAGCTTAGGGCCACCTTGGCCAGGACTTGTCTGATGCTTAGGGGTCCATAGGGTCCCCTTAGCTTGGTCAATCCTGCCACAAAGGCTACTCTTCTTCTGGCCTGCTGCTACAAACCCAACTGCCCAATGCTTTCAGCTTGACCTGCCATTAGAGCTGCCAAGGTAGGTGAATTGTATCAGAATGGGCTGGATATTATGGAAGGGCCTTGTAGGCCTTTTTGTGGGTCCTAAAATGTATTTCAGTGTCAGAACATGTACCCAATTTTGCTTCAGGAAACATGATCACTGACAGTGTATACAATGGGCCTCCTAAGAGAGTGAGAACCCTTGAATGTGTTCTTATCCCAGGGGACTGTCCTAAGTCCATTTAACAGGCTCATTTCCTATCACATCCATCACAGTTCTCAAGTTCTCCCTACCCTGCTACTTCTGAAATAGGAAAACAACCTCTCCGTTGTTTTTTTTGTTTTTTGTTGGTGTATTTATTGCTTGTTAGGACACATATTAACCTTAACAACAAATATGCAAAAGCTACCAAGATAAGTTGTTTTGGAAAAAAATAAGTAAAAGTAACAGCTGTCCCCAGTCTTGACTGAATGTGCACTGTAGCCAGGCCTCAGCTTTTACAAAGTCCCTCACCTGGGCCATCTCACAGACTCACTAAGTTCTGCCAGCAATTCCACCTGGTTCCCAACCATTCCCCAGTTGGCAAGGTTTGTCTACCACAAGTGACTCAAGGAGGTTAGTTTACATCTCAGCGCAAACTCACAGTGTTTACTCTGCTTGGGAATATCCTACTACTTGAAGTAGGAAAACCTGCCAACATTGCATTACATGCTGCCTCAAAATAGGAGCTGACCTCTAGACTCTCCAAGGAGTCCCAGTGCAAACATGTTATTCTTTGATTTACCTGGATGTGTCCAAGCAAACCATTTGAAAACGTGGTCCCATGGAGGTGCACTCTCCTCTACTGGATCATTTCTACCAGCACATAAACACCCTCTGGTATCTCCCAGCTGAACAATAAAAATAAAAATACCCTCTTCTCTTTGGCCCCAAATCCACCTCAGCCAACAGTCCATTCTCCTACTCCCATCAGAGCTGCTGTATCTGTTGACCCCAGCTCCTCACTGGCACTCACACTAGGCTTTCTCCCAATGCTCCACATGGGCTGCTCCCAACAAAGACACTAATAACCCCACAGTGACAGATCCAATGGTCAATTCTTAGTTCCCTATTTCATTTTACCAGCATTTGATGCAGCTGTTCCCTCCTTCTTTTTTTTTTTTTCCTTTTTGTCTTTTTTACTGACCGGTAACGGGATCGCAACCCTCGGTGTTGCACCTGCACCGCGCTCAACCAGTGAGCGGGAACCGGTCTCCGCATGGGATCCGAACCTCGGCGGGAACGCCGCCATGCTCCCAGGCGGCGCACTCTCCAGTGCGCCACTGGGCCGGCCCATTCCCTCCTTCTTGAATTCTTTCTTTACAAGCTTTCCGGACACCGTCCCCCCACCCCACGAACACCCTGTCTTGCCAACTTGCTCCTCCTACAGTCTAGCCCACCTCAGTGAATGGTGTTTCTATTCTTCCACTGTTCAGCTGAAAACCCCGGAGTCATTCCTTACACCTCTGATCTGCTCCTTCCTTATATCCCAGTGCACCAGCAAATCCTATGTGCACTACTCTCAAAATATATCCAGAATGCAACCACTTCTCCCGGACTCCACTGTCATTGCATGGGCCCTCACCCCCACTCTCACCAAGGTACTGCAGCTGCCTCCTGAGTGGTCTCCCCTGCAGGTCCCTGAGAGAGCCTCTGAAAATGCAAAACCAAGATTGCAGGCTCTGCACAAAACCCTGCAGCACCTCCCCACTTACTCAGAATACAAATGAAAGCCCTTCACACCTCCCTGATGCCATCTTCTTCTGTCCTCCCCTAGCCACTCTCTCACCACTGGTCATTCCCTAAATGGGCAGGCACAGGCCCACTGCCCACTGCAGGACCATGTGTCTGCTGTTCCCTCCCAGACATCAGCTCAAAGGCCAGGCCTGCCTGATGGCCCCCACTCACCTGCAGTCCCTTCGCCTTCCTGTTCATTCTTGTCCCAAGGTGCTCATGACCACCTAGCATCTACCACTGCATTTTTTTCTCTCCTCCCTCTGGAAAGTTCCATGAGGGCAGAGCCCTTGCTCTGCTCATTGCTTTATCTCCAGTGCTTCCAGCATTTCCTGGTTCATAACAAGAACCTGGTAAATATTTACTGAATGAATAAATGTATAAAAGAACTTCATTTAGATAATTACATCTGTGGGTGCTGCTAATGGGTGACAGTTAAGGTTCTAAGAAAGCAGGAACACAATCTGCATCATCAAAGGGTGATGACAAAATATTCCTATGGCAAATGCACACCACAAAAATACATTAGGAAAACACTAGGCTCAATGAAAACATACAGTCCAAATACAAGTTAGAAACTTACCTTTTTCATATGATGGTATGTTCTCTTGCAACAATTTGCTAAGCTGCAATGTATTTATTTGTAAAAATCTCAACTGTTCTCTCATTGGTTTTCCTTCAACAACTGGGAATAAAAGACTCCCTACACTGTCTTTTGGAATCAGCAAACCAAGTCCTATTGCTAGTGTTGCAGCCAAATCAGTCTGTTGGACATGCTTTGGATGTCAGAGGTCACCTAGAAAAAAGGAAACATTTTAAGTAACAGGCTCATGGAGAGTGGAGGATGGTAGTCATTCTTGAATCTGACCTCCTACAACTAATGAAAGTCAAATTACCCATCTTTGGAAACCACTCCATGTAAATTCATACAGAAATCACCCCACTGCTTTCTGTGTTAATAGGTTTACTGAATGACCATCCTACACTTAGGACAGGGTCTTCCCTAAAGTACCTTGCGACACACTGAGAGAGAGACTAATGCAATATGGTGTGGGTTACAGGGCATGGGGTGGGCATGGAGGCAGCAAGTAGTCTGGCAGATGCTGAGGGATGGTTGACAGCCAGCCCATTGAGAGTGTGATCTCTGGCAGCCCTGCCCTTCTGTATTCAGAACATCCCAAGCTCTGCTCTCTGGGCACTCACACACTCTTATGGAGGAACCTGAACCTCTCAGTGCCTCCTGAGTGGTAGAAGGTGCTTCTACCTGGGAAAGCAGAAGGAAGCTGGGTTCAGCTGGGCCAGGTGCTATAATCAACTTGGACAAGACACCTGCCTATCAACCAAAGCTCTTCAAGCCCCAACAGTGGCTGGCCATCCTATTAACTTCTTGCAAGGAGTATGACTGTGGTGTGACTGAGGACACTGTGCTCAGGCCACTGCTCTGCCACCATCCAGTATGACCTTGGATGAGAAACTCAACTTAGTGGGAGTTTTCTCAACTGTAAAGAGAACCAGGCCTCACACCCAGAAGCTACAGTGCAGGTCTGCAGGGTGCCAAGAGGCCACAAGAAGGTATTCCATGTGAGTCTCTCGGATACTCAAGTGTGAGTCTATGGAGATTTTACTTTGTGGTAAATTTTGGTTGTATAGAATTTTTCTTTTTAATTTGGTCAAATTTATTAATCGTTTCTTGACCAACCCTCTAATGATGGCTTTTGGGTTATGATTAGAAAAAACTTTCCACTCCAATGTTGTTTTCTTCCAGTACTTCTTTCTTCTAGTATTTACTTACATTAAGTGTTCTGAACTGAAAAAACAAAACAGCAAAACAAATCCACCTTAAATTGCTTTTGGCACTGCACTGTAATGCTGGCATCGTTATTCTGAGACTGTTGTGTGTCTACTGTGGGATGAAGCAAGAGTCACTATGTAATATCCTATCCTATCCTATCTGGGGCTGTGACAACCAGGATTCTAAGCTTGAGAGGAAGAAAGTACAGATGACAGATCTAAGAAGTTAATTTCAAAGTTCTGAATGTGAACTTGAAATATCAACACAAATTCAAGATCGTCTTATCTTTAAAAAATTTCCTTGCTCTGCACAGAAAATGACTAACCCAGTATCAGCAAGCACCTCTGGTCTTCAAATGCCCCATTCCACTAAAAGGAACCAGGCCTCTTGGAAAAGTAGCTGATCAAAGGTCTCAAGAAAAAAATGTGCATGACAGCCTGGAACACCTTGTAGACCAGAGAACAGTAAAGCTAGCAAAGACAACTAGGATCTACCAAAAGGACTCAGGCTTTAATATGAAGATGCTCCCACTGGCCAAAGATGGGACAACTTGAATATTAAAAAGAATACTATCTACAGTGAACTGAAACAAACTAAATATGCTTAAATCCATGAGTTCATAGCGTTTTTAAAAGAAGAACAAACTTAACTGGTCAGATTTGAAGGATGCTAGTGAACTCATTCATTCATTGATTTGAAACTAGTAATTAAGTGGGAAGTATAATCTCTCATTTATCCTGTCTCTCTAATATAAATGACACCAGTGGGTAACCAAAAAGTAGACAGGGGAAGATTTTCTTTGTAGAATTATCCTGGCTACTATGGTTTGAATGCATCCCCCAAAATTCATGTGTTAAAAATTTGATCCCCGACAGTGTTAGGGGGTGGGGTCTTTGGGAAGGTGTTTAAGTCATGAGGGCTCTGTTCTCATAAATGAATTAATACCATTATAAAAGGACTTGACAGAAGGAGTTTTGTTCTTTTTACGCTTCTTCCTTCCACCATGTTAAGATGCAGTGTCCTCCGTTCTGGAGGACACTCAAGGCACCATCTTGGAAGCAGAAACCCCTACTAGATGCCATCACCTTGACCTCGAACTTCCCAGCCTCTGTAACTGTAAGAAACAAATTTCTATTCTTTAAAAATTACCCAGTCTGTGGTATTCTGTTATAGCAGCACAGACTAAGACACTGGCTAATTAATGAAGAAAGAATTATAGAATTAAAACATCACTATTTGCAACCTCTACTAAATTAATGGAACCAGTTGACCAATGGTTACTAACATCGCAGTAAAGCAGACAGCCAGATGTTATGTCCTTCCTGTTAGAAGTAGCCTTGCCCTGCCCAGCCCAATCCAAACCAAACTCAACCAACAGGATCTGAATCTGCTCAAGCCTTTGGGTCATAGGAAATTTACAGGATGGAGAGGCGATCTTAGCAAACAGTGCCGAGAGCAAGAGGCAAAATCCAGACTGTTGGAGACTCCATAGGAAAAATAACTAGGTTTCTTCAAAAAAATAAATTGTGGTAAAATAAAAGAGGTGGGAGTTGGGGACCTATACATTAACAAAGACTTAAAAGACACATCAACAAATTGGTGTATGGATGTTATTTGTATCCTAATTCAAAAAAACTAAAGAGAGAGAGAGAGAGAGACAACAGAAATTTAATACTATTTGATGATATTAAAGAATTAATACTATTTTTAAAATGTGATAATGGTATCAAGATTATGGTGTGTGGGGGGGGGGAGGGGGAAGTACATACCTTTTAGAGATCTGCTTCCAAACAATAAGAGAGAAGGAAAATGAGTGTGGGCATAGATGAAATAAGATTGGCCATAACTGGCCAATAATTGTTGAAGCTGGGTGCTGAATACGGGGGGTTATTATGATATTTTGACTACTTTTATATGTCTGAAATTTTCCATATTAAAGAGTCTTTTAAAGAGATTGAATGTTTGGATCTGTAATTTACACTAACTTAAAGAGTGAGGCAGAGATAAAGCATTGCTTTTTCCAGAAGGTTAGCCAGGTGTGCTAACATTATTAACCGACTGCCCTATCTTTTCTTCACTAATCTGAGATGCTGCCATTATCACCAAATCTCCGTGTACACTGGGGTCTATTTTTGGCCTCTTGATGTTGCTCCACTGAATGGTCTGACCAGTTCTTGCCAGCACAAACTGTTTTAGAAACTGTAATTCTGTGATGCAAACACAGGGCAGGCCAAATAACAGAGTGGATTTTATCCCATAGGCAATGGTACACCATTAAAAAAGCATAAGCATTTCAGAAAACCTTCCTTGCAGTCTGGCGGCAGTCCTTCCACCACCTGTCTCCACCTCCACTTGCCCTACTACGTCTCTACCTTGGCAATCTTTTAAAACATTCAGTCAACAAATATCGATGAAATGTACACTATGTGCCAGGCACTATTCTAGGCTTGAGGGACAGAACAGCATGTATAATAAAACAGGCAAAGTCCCTGCCCTCATGGAGCTTACATTCTAGTAGCCAGAGGTAGACAATAAAAGACATCTGTTCCACCCTTCATGGAAGCCCAGGAAGCGGCAAGCTCTACTTCCCAGACCCATGCTTCTCATATGAGGAGGTGAGGACTCTGGCAGTGGGCAGTAGCCGGCTAGGGGTACACGATCCAATACTGTTTATTTTTCAGAATAATAAACAACTTAACCCTTATTTTTATTAAAATAAGTGACAAAAATCTGCATGTGTCTGTAAGATAAAACCAACCCTTCAAGGAACAACCAGGACTGGTGGTGAGCAGCTCTAAGGACCAGCCTGCCAATAAGACAGGTGTCACAAGTGAAAACCATAAAGCAGCCACAACTACTGTTCACAGCCTCGGAAACTGTCTAGGAGCATACAGCAAAGGAAGAAATCTTTAGGCAAGAAAATCTACTAAACTTTGGCATGAACTGCAAGAGTCTATGGCACTTGAACCATGACCTGCCCCCTCCCTGACCTCCCATGTCTGTGGTGAGTGTGGCCCAGAATGCAGGGCTCCTTCTCCTGCCAGCTGCCAGTAGGGGGTTATGTTACCTCCTTCTCATCTTCCCCTGGAAAACAAGAGCAATCAGCTGGCAATTAGTGGTGTTTAACAGCTGGGTACAATAGCAAAAGAGGCAACAGCTTCACAGAGCAATCAGAGAAAGACAGTCAACAGCTACCCTGCTAACACCACTATCATCTTAAGGAGTCTGTGCACATGCCCCCAGCCAGGCACTCAGGAAAGCAACAGCGGAGACTTTTCTAGAATAGTCCAGTCAAGTCACTAGACAAATAAGCAAGCAATAACAACAAGCTCTGGAGGGGGAGGGAAATCAGCGTCCAGTCACTACAATATGTTATTTAAACTGTTCAGTTTTTACCAAAAACTTATGAGACAAGTAAAGAAACATGAAAGTGTGACTCAAACACAGGAAAAAAGCAGGCAACAGAACCTTCCTGGGAGAGGGCCCAGATGTCAGATTTAATAAATAAAGACTTCAAAGTAGCCATCATAAATGTGTTCAAAGAATATCTTATCAAATAGAGAATATCAAATAAAGAGATAAAAATTATAAAAAACAAACAAATGCAAACTCCAGAGTTGAAAAATATAATAATTAAGATGAAACATTCACTACAGGGGCTCAACAGATTTGAGCTGAACCAGCAGAAGAAAGAATCTGCAAATTTAAAAATGGATCAATGAAAATTAAACAATCTGAAGAAGAGAGAGAAAAAGTCTCAAATTTGTTGAAAAACATTAATTTACACATCCAAAAAACTTACTGAACTCCAAACTGGATAAACACCAAATACACAGACACATGATAGTAAAAATGCTAAAAGACAGAGGTTAGCATGCCAATTAGATTAACAGTTGACTTCTCATCAGAAACCATGGAGACCAGAAGGCAGTGGGATAGCATATTCAAAATGCTGAAAGAAAAAGACCATCAACCAAGAATCTTGTATCCAGCAAAACTATCTT